GTATGTTTGTATTTGCCATTTTTTATGAAAACGTATATTTTTGTTTATTGAACTAAATTCACAATACACCTTCGTTCGAAAATACCATTTTTGTTAAGATACTTTCACTTCACTAATAATTTAACTTACGTAAAACCAATCATAAGTACCCTATTGGTAAAATATATACAGCTACCATAATAATATGGTTATTAACAATTAATATCTAACATTAAGATTATTCTTGAATTCCACCTATATTTCGTAATCAGATAATATATTTTTAACACGATTAAGTTTTTAATTTTTATACAATATATTTATAAGTCATATATTATATCTATCATGAAACTCTCTGTAATTTAATAAGTACTCGGAATATTGATGCTTTTATACGACACAATTTATTTCCTTTTTTAGTTCCTACATTTAGTTTTGACGCAAATTGTTTATTACTGAAGTGTTGTAGCCCTCCTAAGGTTTTGAGTTTTACACTACGAGTATATTAGATTTATGTGCGTATAACGTCTTCTTTTTAAACGTATTTCACTATTCTTGTTCAAAAGTGTTAACGCCCGTCGCATAATTTATCCTTTCGAGATTTGATAAAAAAAAATATTTAATGGTCTCTGTTGTGTTCACAATCTAATGTAACCCAACAACAAACAATTGGCTGTGGTCATAAAAATATACCATTTCAAAGTTTGAATTAAGTGAAATATTTTTACTTAGTTGTATTTTCTCAGAATAAATATATAGTTATTAAAATTAATAGCACGAATTTCAAAATATCCAAACTGAGTTTTTAAATAGAGAAATAAAAAATATATGCAATATTGTAGTTTCATTTAAGATACATTTGATGGTGGTTAAAAATATCGTTCTAGTAAATTCATAAAATAATATAAATAATGTGTAGCTTATATGTTGAACGTTTTATAAAATTATGTATTTCTAATTTTCAAGTTTTATTTAATGATTATTAATTTTTTGTTATTATTATTATTATAATTATTATTATTATTGTTATTATTAGAGTAGAAGTTTTGAAGCAATGTATTGCTTTTTCTAATATTCTGCGGTAGTTGCGTAAATGGAAAATACTTTTAATGATTATTTATTTATTTTATATATTCACGCCTGATGAGTTTTTAATTAAAATATTACATGTATATACTTATATATTAACATAATAATAAGGTTGAAGAATTGTGTATAATTTATAGCAAGTGATACAGATTAAAAATATATATATAATAGGTTATTACTGTTAACAATAAATATTATAAATACGAAAAAAGATGTCTATAAAACTATAACTATTAAAAAAAATTAATAAGGCAGTATATAATAATATAATTATATTTTAATAATATTTTTATTTTGCATTTTTTGACAAATGCAACTTTTTAGGGAAACTGTAAGTTTTTTAGAAAATTATTTACAATTTATATTCTTTTAATAAAAGTGCATTACAGTACAAAATGTATTGCTAAAATATTGTATATATATATATGTATGTATAATTTATGATCTTTTGGGTATTTTATACAATTTTTTTGGAGCATTAGAGCACAGCCTTAATTTTTATTATTTGTTTTATTTTATTACTGTTTTCAAAGATATTTATACGGTTATTAGGTGGTACGCGCGCGCGGCGCAACCACCACATCGTCATAGACGTCGTATTTAATTGGCAATTTTTTTTCTTCTCCCCGTCGGTCGTGAACCACCGCCGGAGAAGGCCGATTTTTCTTTTCTGGAATCAACCGCTCAACAACCGGTTGACATCCCATAACTAACGAGACGCAATCTCCCGCAATAATGACGAAAAACCACTCCTTACGATATAAACTCACTAATAGTCTCCCGGGAATGTGCTCCGAATGTTAAAAAGTTTTTTTCTACCCCGCCGTGTTATTATTTATTTATTTATTTACTTTTGTGTTTTTTTCTTCTTCGAATAACTTTTAGGACCGCGAATGATTTAGTCCGCCTTTTTTTGCGATGTGACCGACCGCTAATGAGCCGCTTCGGATACGTAGGATATAGAATTCATAATTAATTTCCGACAATTCGTGACGATCGCCAGAATAATATAACCATACGCTGGAATCACGGCAGTGGAGTTGTCCGCGCGCTATCACTAATTGGATAGACGTTCACCTCCAACGATATTCACACACACACAAACACACACTACGCGGTAATTGGGTGGAAATAATTCAGCTATATGTTATTTATTATATTTTTTCAAAATTGTTTTCCGCGTACAACACATCTGAAGTTACACACCGTATTGTCGTCGTCTACGAATGCCGTATATATATATATATATGTTGCACGAAGACGACGTTCTGATGAATAACCACTAAACACAACCTCTCTATTATGGATAATATTATGATGAAATATATTTTACCAAGTGCAGGAGGAGGAACCTGCGCAAGATGTACCTATCTATTAAATATTTGAATGTCTATATACATACTTGCACTGATGGTAGCTATATATATACATATTATTATGTCATTACGGTAGTCGACATGTTATTATCATACGCAATGTGCAATACGTTGACACCAATTTTTCGACAGATGAAAACGAATGCAGGTGACCCTTTATGCTTATCTTGTAAACTCGTTCGATTAAGACAGAAAAACGAGTGGACACAGTGGATCGTCTTTTATAGAATATTGCCTGAACCAGTTATGTCAGACTTCATAGTTGTAACAATCGTTCGATATTTACTTAATATATGTACTATTTGAATAATATAAATCTGCATCCGTGGCGAATTGGTGAGCGGAGTTTGGCTAAGATGAATGACTGCATTAACGAAAAAATACAAACAATATCTATGTACAATATATTTTAAAACAAGTAAGTTAATACAGTATGCGTATTATTCAAATTGTCTTAAGGCAGACCTATTCGAGTGATGGCTAAAAAATTAACCTTACCAAATTGGTGATGAAGTTACAATTTGAAATGTTTTATTTAAAATATTTAGATTTTATACACAAATCGTATTATAATGAAATAGTTATCGTCAAAATGCTATTCAGTATAGGTTTTCTTAAAGGTCACAAATTATAAAAAAATATATGCAAAGGATATTGGAATATTGTATGTTTACTGAACAACAAAGATCATTAAACGACAACCATGCACCAACATGATCGATTTCATATTTATTTCACATATGTATCGTTATATGTTAGGTTGGTTTGTTTTGTAGTATTTCAAAAAATGAGCCAATCTATATAAAACAGAATGGTTGAACGTTAATATTATATCTAGCTTAATATAATATAAGAACAACTTTTGAGATTTATAACATAATATTCTAATTTTTTTTTTTTTTTAGCTTCAATGATAGTGATTAAGCTTAACTTTAATTTAATAGTATATAACTTAGATGACCGAATTCATCCAATATTCCCTATACAATGGACCAAGGTCTAGGGTTGAATTTAAGAATGACCCAGTGAAGTAGAAACTAGGAAGGTATCTAACTTAAATACAGGAAATAAATCTAGAATCAATTAAAATTTAATTCAGATATAAAACATAAAATACACGTACTTTAGTAGTATAGTTTAAATTTAAAATAATTTATAAACACAATTACACGAATATTAATAATACGAATCTATATGATTTAATTTTCATCATCTCTTAGTAAAACTTTAAACAATTTATTTTTGAGAAATTTTTAGTTTACTAGTTTTTACCAATTAAAGTAATTTTTATAATATGAAGAATGATGATCATTATAATAAGTTTCCATTCAGCCATTTGCATTAGACTATACTATTTCAATGTTGAGATTTATTACAGCTTGATTACTCAATACTTTGAATACTTACAATCGATGCAATAGTGTATTATGTTTAACTAATTGAATACGGAATTCATATACAATATCTAATACAATAATGAATTAATATAATTAAAATGAGCCTGGTAGATAGAGAACAATGCGTATGCACATTCATTGTTTTTTTTATCGAACAGCTGAGAAGAAAAATTATTCATGTATGAAAAAAAAATAGTAAGTACTTAATGTAAAAGTTGTTTTTACTTAGTGAATATACAAAATTCATCAATATATTATATATTTTCAACTATTATGAAAGTATTTTAAAATATTCTATAAATATATTTATAAGTTAATGTAAATTTCAAACTAATTAATTAACTCGTAATTTATTATGGACATAGTTAAGACTGTTGCATTACATAAATTCGTTTCATATAGATTAAATTAGCGATAAAATTTCAGTAAAGTGGATCTTTAATTTTAATAATACAAAATCAAAATAAATTTTACAATTTAATAATAGGTCTAATAAAGAAATTATATATTACAGCTTTAGAAAAATATATATTTATTCTTTTAATAATATGAAGTATTACGTAGGAATAATATGAAAAATAAAAGAAACAATTACATTACCATACAACTATCTTAATGAATATAAAGTTTCTGACATTAAACTTTCTTTTATTAAAAAATTGAATGTTCAAATTATATTTTAAATGTGTATGTTAGATTTGATAAATTATAGTAACAGTTCAAACACCAAACAAAATAATTGCACATCAAACGACCTGATCGAAAATCGATAGATCAATAATATTTAATATGTAATAATAACTATGGAACCTATAAGATGATCCTGCTGTCAACCAGAAATATACACTTGTTATATATAAGTATTATTAATCATCAATTGTATAGCACGTAGACGTATATAAATATAAATCATACCTATATCGTCGCGTGTCCAATATTCACGTCCAAAATGTTTTTATTTAATTTTAACCATTAAATATATATATATATAATATACATACATCACCTTGGGTACATACCGACCAATGTAGGTTGCGATTTTTCATCGATCGTTGTTCTGGTCCCGCCCATACGAACCGGTTGCATCTCCGGGGTGAGAGGGGAGCCCAGTGCACCATGCCCAAGCCCATGTGCAGCTTTTAGCACACTCTCAGTACACACGAACCGTGTCCGTCCGCTGTTGATTTACACGCATTCGGGTAGATGCGGTCCGATGACGACGACGAAGAAAACGACAACAAAAATAGAATAAACAATGTCGACGGGGTGTGCGTAAAATAATATTATATTATAGTGCTGTGTGCGATTTGTCCATGTCCGGTATTAAACTTCGAAAAAGTTTGTTGTATATCTATGTCGAAACAACACATAACATTTATTTAGTGTTCTGTAGTTATTGTTTACAGCACCCGTTGATGCCGAGAGCCGTGCGAGGAAGAATTAGTGCGCTTCAAAGGACCTAAGGTGAGTCCGGCGGGCGTTTAAGTCTCTTCAACATGAATAATATTATTATTTCATTATTCTATTAAATTGTTTATATAATGTTTAACGATATTATACAGTACCTATTTAAAACGTGCCACGTACGTTTCGCTAACGTTCCCGTATAGCGTAAACAAACCCAAATATCATTAAAACCCACCATCAGAACAATGGCGACCTTGTTAAACCGAAACATTCCAATAATTTTAATAAACAGAAACTTCGTTTTTGAAACGACAATAAAAAACAATACTTTATAAAAACGTATATTTATAATGTGTGTATGTGTGGTATTACACGTGCGAAATCTTTCTCGTTTTTGTTCACACAGTAATAAACTTGTGAATATGTAGGTATAGTATATACACTCTCTATAATATAAATTGACATCATAATAATATTAATGGGAGAAATTTTTTTGCATTAAAACATTGATATTTTTCTACAATAAAAATCATTATTTTATCATAACGTAACTGATCACATCATTTAAAACAAAAAGTCCTAAATAAATCGTATACTTCACTTATTAGTTCAATTAGACTAATTATAACTATATACCTACTTCATGCCACACGTTTTAATAATAATAATTATCTAATTACTAGATGTTAAAATCTTTAATGTATATAGATTCTTAGGCCGCTCTAATTTCTTAAACCTAACGGCGATCAATGATATTAAACTGATGGGATTACAAAACCATTACATACACAATTATAATTATTATTATTACTATTATAATAACATGGTATCCAAGAGATATATTTTAACAACCATCTTTCTAATCTAAGTACATTCATTTTAATGATATACTACAATGTGATAAATGCTATCTTAACAAAGTTCTTAGTTATTATCGTTGAATTATTCTTAAATATTTTTAAATAACACTTGTATTTAAAACAAACTTACACATGGTGTAATTCACGGCATAACGTTTAAATCTCCATACCAGTTTTATTGACCACAATGTAATATAAATATTTGTTTCTTAGTATTTATAGCAACCGTAAATTTGAAATTATGCATATCCAGAAAGAAACTTATGCATAAATTATTACTGAATCGTACTTACATTGGAATTAAGTGCATAATTTTCAATTTATATTTTATTGACTCTTTCGATTTGTTATATATGATACTATTCGATAGCTTTAAAAGTTTACATGATACATTATAGAAGTTCTTAATGCCTTTTTAACTTAATAATGTAGTTAGAGGTGATTAATGCAGTTTTGTCCTAAATAAAATAAAAAAACCTACGCTCATTTAGTAACAATAATTATACCTATCATTTTACAATTGACAGTACAATACATAAATCAATAAATCAAAAAGTGATTTAACATTTTACTAAACAACTAACATACAGGGTGAACGGCCGAGCACATATAGAATTCTGATAAATAACTAGTGTTTTAAACTGGAGTCTTAAAAGTACATATGTTAATAGTTTGGGTTGAAAATTCAAATAAACAGCATATAGGAGCCTAAATAATATAAAATTAATTACATTTAAAATTTAGTTAGTTTAATTTAAAAAGTATCAAGAAGTTAGAAATAATTAATTTATAAATGTTTACAGATACAGGTAATGGATACAAATGTTGGTTTTTAGGATATCAATGAGTCAATTCATTTCTCGTAGTTGCGTCAATGTTGTTAATATTTATCTCTAGAATACATAATTTTACACAAAAAAATCAATTTCTAATAAAGAGAAAATCATGTAGATTTATTTCTAAATACATTTTACCTAATTCGTGTCGGTCGTTTGCTTCATTATTCTCAGACTTCAATTTCAGCGTGCCATACTCGAATAACACCCTATGGTAATTATCACTCGAACTAAGTTTCACGAAATTATGTATATATTTAAAAAAAAAAAAACAAAAACACAAATCTAGGGTGTGGTTAGGGCCGAAATCGTATGTAGTTGTAGAGTGTAGGCCGTAGGGCACAGACCATTGTTAATGGTTGCCATGCAAAGCGTTTACACAACAAGCAATAATGTTCACTGTACACAACGACGACCGTTATTGGTATTTATTCGAACAGAATTTCGTTTAACTAACAAACCCATTCAAAACGTTCTTCCTACACGCGAACATATTATGCACATGCACATCGAACTCCACCGTCGCCGTTTACAAATTATGACACACGTTGCGGTGTCTGTATAAATATTATTATAATATTTTATATATACAGTGGCCCCCGCTTGAATGAAACACAAAACCAGTTTGCACGATGACGTTATTTAAAAAAATAAACTACACATAAAGTACGACACAAAATTAAATGTGTATATTATACATTATTATACACATATTATATTGTATATAGCACACGTCGAGCCTATAATAGAAAGGCGATTTTATTTTATTTCCAATTTCGTGCAGCATAGTTCACTGTTTGGCTGCGATTAAGGCGAATACGGTTAACCGTATGTGTATGTAAATTTTTGCTGTAACCAGCCGGTTTGTGTAGTGTATATACATAAAATATAATATGTAATACACGTATTTATTATACCGGGTGACGGCTGATTTATTTTTTTATAAGATTTAAATTATTTATTATATTGATAATCTATTTGTATTTTGTTTTTGTTTTTGTTTTTTTTAAACTTTTTGTTACATATTATATCAATGTATATATATATATATTATGAAGAAAATTAACTTTATATACTATACTATCTAAACTCAAAATGGAAAAATAATAAATACTTACTAAACTTTAATTGTGTTTTCTATTAGCTATGATAATCAAATTCAATAGAACTTAAAAATCAAATTACATAACCAAATATTTGAATACAAAGTTTTTTATATTTCAGTTATTTAAGAAGCTTTTAATGTATGTTTATCTGTTTCAACGTATATATTATATTATAGCCTATTAAATAGTCGATTAACTGTAATTAATATAATTATATACAATATTAGCTATACCTATACGAGTAGAAAAGGATTAATTACGTCATTCCATTCCTCCAACTAAAATTTTAAACAGTATAATTAATACAAAATTAAATCAGATATAAGATTTACATACACGTTCCTACGCAATAGCATATACTATTATCAATATTTTATGAAAAATATCTTAATGGGAAAAATTAAGCATAAACACTAATTATTAATTGTTATTAAAAAATCGATAGTTGCTATAAATCTAATCAACTAATGAAATTGTGCGGAGTGTGTAATCTATTGTGAAAAGCAATAATTAAAAGCAAGAAGAAAATAATGAATAATAGCGTTATTGCCGTGCGCGTTTACATGGCGTAAATAGCCTGAATAGGTTTTAAAATAATCACCCTGTATAATATGATGCACGACCGAAGCAAGTCGATATCACGAATGAAACACCGACTCTGGTGTCGGAGAGCTTGACGGGTGGATCGTGAAGACGGAGTGGAGGTATCGTCGTGGGAATACGTGACAAGGGAAAGTGCACGTGATCTAGTGAAGTTTTTAGATCTTTTTTATCTTTTTTATGCCCATACGAATTCCCACATCTGGGAAGAAGCGAATGACGACGACGACCAACTACGCCAGATAGGGGAAAATCCGCATCGGCAACCGGTTCAGACAACACGACGACGACGAGTATAAAACGCGAAACGAGTGTCACAACGTTTCCCTCGTTCGGCTCGCAATGATAATAATATAGCCATGATGTCGTATAATATTGGAACGCTAGCGCACTGTGCAAAATATATTATATTATTATACACTTTAGACGTGAAATCAGCGTCGTGCGACGACCATAAACACAACGCGTACAGGTACCTAACAAAACATAGCGTTTACTATTGCATTAGTAAATGATAAGAATAATACGCCAAGATGCGCTTATCCGTCTTGTGATCGCATGGTGTACATGATAATAATACAAAAAAAAAACTGATATTACACGGAGTGAATCATTAAGCGTGTTCGCCCTCCGCGTTTTCCTTTCATAATAATTTATTCAAATGAAAATGGTTTTTGGAATTTGTAAATACCTGTACTTAATATTAGCGTATTTTCTATTATTTAGATTTGTAATGTCATTTAAGGAGTATACTTTGATGATACAAAATCCTTTTTTCAAATAGAACTAACCTTCTTTTCAGTAAACTGTAAATCAGATAATTTTGTTTTTTTAACTTTAATGGTATTAAAATCAAAATTCCATCAAATTGTACCTGAGATAATATAATTAATGTTTATTAGGTATTTTAATGTAATTTTAACTTCAGTATCGTCAACGAAAATTATCACAAAAGTCACCTGATTAATAATATCATCTAGAAAAAATTATGGTTTTCATCATAATATAAAAAAAGACAATAAAATTGCCTAAAGATACTTCTTAAATGATAAAATAGATTCAAAATGAATTTCTAAACTATACTTGAATATTTTAAAAATCAGAAGTAGAATAAATTCAAAAAGGAAAAACTAGGGGGTCTACACGACTGGTAAATCACCTTGATGTGCACGCATTGAAGTGAAGGGATATACAAGTTTTACCGCAGAGTCGTAAATCATAATATAGATCTACTATGCGCGTATGAACTTGTAGATAAAGAAATGCATACCTGAAAATCGCTGCGGTGAAAAACGTATCAATATCAAAAACGGCAGCTACATAAAAAAAAATAATAATAACAATTGCGTATGTATGATAATAATTATAATAGTATAAAAAAAAATCATCAATAATAGATATATTAGGTAACGGATGATTATAGGTTATAGCACGAGTAGGTGCTACAGCTGTTTACAGTACACGTTTTTTCGGACATTAAACATAGGTATCTATTATTTTTTTTTTTACATATTTTGCACCCAAAGCAGAATTGAGACCCTTTCATTCCTTTTTAAAATCTAGTTGCATATTTCTTATTTAAATATTAATTAATTTAGCGTCCGATGATTGGTATTAGGAGGTCCTGGATGAAGTTATTACGCGAGTCTCTAATA